AACATATGTGTTGATCTAACACCAACATTCGCATCTGGTGTAGATTACGTTATCCAAGACATGTCAAATAAAACAAACAAACAACACATATGGTACATTATACCAAGGCTGAGGCTATACTAAAGTGAAGGCTGCACAGAAGACTGTTGGAGTCAGTCTCCCCACCAACATAGACATTTACACCTCCAGATGCAGGAAGAGGGCCACCTACATCATGAAGGACCCCACTCACCCAGCACACACACTTTTTGCCCTGCTTCCCTAAGGCAGGAAGTTGAGGAGCATTAAGTGTAGAACCACTAGACTGAAGAACAGCTTCTACCCTGAGACTGTTAGACTCATGAATCTCTAACTAAAATAATCACTATGAAAAATCACATCATGTTGCTGCTGATCTGTTTCATGTTGCTGCTGATCTGTTTCATGTTGCTGCTGATCTGTTTCAATGTTGATGTGTTCATTCGTGCTCATCTGCTCACACAGACTCATGTTCGTGCTGCTGTTTGGCGTATTGTTTTTACTGTTTTTATGCTATTAGTGCTTAGTGTATTGTTTTAATTGATGTTTTTCTTCATTCATATTTTAGATCTTATTACAGTTTTTTTTTTTTTTTTTACATTTTATACTATTGTTGGATGTAACTGGGACCCTGTGTACACAATTTTGTTCTACCACATGTACCACATGTGGTGCAAATGACAAATAAATAAACTCTGACACTGACTTGAACACCTGCAGACAAACTATTATACAGTAAACTATAGCAAAGGTCCAGACAAGCAAAGACCTTGTATAATATTTGAACTTGATTTGTGACCGTGACCTTGAAAGTGGGGTCATGAAAAGTGTACGTCACACTCGGTGATGCACACATGTATCAAGTTTTACTGATTACTGAATTAGGACTGATGAATTATTAAAAAAACTACGAAACTCACTTTAAAACTGGTGAATATTTATGCATTCATTTGTATAAACATGTTTTATTTCATTGGTATTACTTTTGAAAACCCTGATTTAATTTTGACATTAAGGAACTTTTTTTTTTTTAAAGCTTGATAAAACATATTGACCAGGAGTGAACTATGAAACATCCAGTGGGTTGAATATATATTTTATTTTGAAAATAATACAAAATTAACTATATTCTTCTGATATAAACTTGAGAAACCAAAGCTTGTTTTGAAGCTTATGTGGGAAACTGGTTTGCTCATATTGAGATAACAAGAGCAGAAAACATAAAAATAATAACCTTTAATAATCATTTTCACTTCTAACAAATACATATCAAACACAGAAACAGACTGAGTGAAGTAACATTTTTAATTATAACTTTTGTACAATAAATTTTACATCTTCACAAGTTAGGAAAGTACCGATGCCGGACAGTTCGAGGGAGTTTGCATCTCCAAGGGAAAAAATAAAAGTAATTATTGGTCATTTTAAACCACAGAAGGTTCAGTGAAGGACAACAAAGAGTTTACCTTCTTTAAACCTAAAGTTATACCAGATTTACAACTGAAATACAATAAAAAAAATAAAATAGAACCCAGTTTTTTAAGATACAACACTGGGGTGTTGTTTAAAATAATCAGCTATATAAGAAATAATTGTGAGTATCATTGCTGGTAAAGCAACTCAACTTATTTTTGTTAAACTTAAAAATAAAACTTTCATTGTAAGAGTCCCCCCCCATCCCCAAATCCCATCCAACTCATTAAATATGAGGCAACAACATATCTGCTTATAAGTTTCTTTTAAACTCTAATTAAATTCATGCAGTTTTCTTTTTTGCCTCATTTTCTAATTATTGTCATCACAATCATTTTAGCAGTTAAGCCAAAATAATTCTGATAACGGCTCACAGCATCATAAAAAATATCTGGTCCATTTCATTCACTTCAGCTCCTCAAAACGAAAACAAATTGGTAAAAAAATAGAAAAAACAAGTGTAACTCTTAGCCAAAAAGAAAAACTAAACACATCCCATCTCACTTGGGGATCTTTATAAATGGGGTTATGGTACAAACTATATGCTTTTTAAATACAGTAGGAGTGTTACACTGATATTTTCTGTCTCAGATAGTTCATAATCATACAAGGAGAGACACATCTACGCTGTTGTAAAAAATTTACACGTGTGGCTTAATGTTCTCTAAGCTGTATCTGTGTGTTAAAATGGCTCACAATGCTCAGTAATAGAATAATAATAGATATTTTGTTGTCCAATTTCAACCAAGTACATACAGCGCACATATCATGTTAATGCTCATAACATTAAAGTTCTGCGGTACATCAGCAGAGCGTGGAACACAAGCAAGTCAGAAATGCTCCAGTTCCTGTCAAACACTTGAAAAGAGTTGAACGTGCCGCAGTGACGTAAATGAGCCGATAATATGGTGGGTGGAAATTAATCTGAGTGATGTAAAACAAGATTGGTCCAACTGACTACTGGTTCTGCTGCTTCTAAACACTGAATCATTCTGACTTTTCTTTCTGTACCACGAAGAAAAGGCGGAAACAAATCCATGAGGTACACGTTTTAAAAAGAGAAATTGTCTGTTTGCTAACTTCCTGTCAGAAACTGTTTGATTGTAGCTGCTGTAGTCAAGAAGTGAATCCTTACATTTGTTGCCACATGTGAAAAATAGTCAGCAAATTCATTCTTACGTCCAAAAATGTTGATTTTGAAGCCGTGATAAGATAGGTGATTTTCCAATGTTTCATTTATCATCCTAACATTGTCTACATAATTTACTGATGGTTTAGTGGTTAATAGTTAATGTAGCCCTGACCCTAAACCTAACCCAGAAACCCCTGCCATAAACCTGATCTCTGACCCTAAACTTGACCTCGACTGATAAACCTAATCTGGGCTCCTGACCCTAAACCTAACCCTCTGACTTCCATCCATCAATTATCTTTACCCGCTTCTTCCTTTTGGGTCGCAGGGGTCACTGGTTCCCATGTCCAGCAGTCACTGTGTGAGAGGCAGGGGACACCCTGGACAAGTCTCCAGTCCATCACAGGGACACATAGAGACAAACGAGACAAACAACCATTCACTCTCTCACTCACACCTAGGGACAATTTAGAGTTACCAATCAGCCTAACATGCATGTTTTTAGTCTGTGGGAGGAAACCGGAGTACCCGGAGAAAACCCACACATGCACGGAGAGAACATGCAAACTCCACCCAGAAAGGTCCCCAGACTGAGATTTGAAGCAGTGTAACCTGCTCGCTGAGAGGCAGCAGCTCTACCAGTTACACCACCGTGCTGCCCACCCTCTGACTTTTGACCCTAAATTTGACTGCTAACCCTGACCATAAAACCCCTGACCTTTGACCCTGGACTTGAACCAAGATTCAACTTGTCTGCTGGCCTCCTTAGATACAGAACTTTATTAACTGGCCTTTCTATGTATGTGAATGTTCTTGTAAAGTGCCCTGAGACAACTTTTTTTGTGATTTGGTGCTATATAAATAAACTGAATTGAATTGAATTGAACCCTAACAAGGACCCCTGTCCCATCGCCCCACCTGATACTCTCCCTTCTCGAAGTATTCGATTGAGTTGGGTCATGACAAAAGGCCTGGGTGGGGGGGATAGGTATATGTGCATGGAGAGCCAGTGCAGTGATGAATCCTGCACAATTATGAGTAGTACCAACTTTTTATGGATGTGGAGAGTGCAACACTTTGTTTGTTTTAGTAATCCATTATGGTGCAAAAGTTTCTACTAACCATTTAGCATTAAGTCAGTTATATACAAGGCATTTGTCCTCCCAGACCTTTATAGTAAACCTGTACACACAGTGCTGGAACACAAAGACTGAAAATATTGTCCAAAATATGTGGCTGGTTTTAGAGAACAGTCAACTGGAAAATAGGATAGTTTTGGGAACAATCTGAGCCTCACAGTAATTAAAGCACATATTTTTGGACCTGCTCTGCAACTATAAGCCTATTTGTTTGTTGACTTTTGGTCTTTTTAGGGCTCAGAGCAGCAACGTTCATCACATTTCAACAGAAAATGATCATTCGGGTGCTTCATGGTCACCTTGCATAAAGAAACGTGGCATGGAAAGTTAGAGTTAATCACAGATTAGTGGATTCAGCCATCCACAGCAGCACAGCCTCCTGTGATCAGTGTGTAAAATGAGGCAGAAAGACTGGGAGCAGAAAGCATGGCACTGTTTGTATGTGTGTGTTTGCTTCTTTTTGTCCGAGTGTGTGGAGTGTGCAGTTTTTACTTGTGGGACTTTGCCATATGTGCTTTTGCCAGTGGCCATTTGTGTTCAAGTGTGAGCTGCATTAAAGACAGTTTGGGCAAAGGTGTTGCAACTTCTTTGATGTTTTAAATCTTCATTATACATTTAGAGGCGTGCTCTTTGTACCCAGTGTGCATGTGGACCTTCAATCAGTTCATAAAAATATAGAATATCAAATCACATTATTCTTTAAACATAACAAATCACAGAGGAATAACACCAAAAAGGCTGCCCAAGTGATAATATGTAGCCTTTACTGAACTTGCAGTAAGTTTTAAACAACAGATTCCACCAACAGCCTCAACACGCAAACAGACAGGTGGAGAATGACTCTGAAAGGTGATGTTAATTTACATTATGTTCCAAGTCACCACTTGTCGTTTTGTAGAATGTAGTCCTCAATGTGATTCATTGAATCTGCTCACAAAAAGCAGCATACATAAGATAATTAATCATTTGTTTTTCAGTGTGAACATACAGCTAAAACAGTTTTAATGTGTAGAATAAAATCACAATTTTAGCACTAAGCTGCAATGCAAAAATCAACCAACCAACAAACAAAAAACTAACTTCCAAAACATAATTCCAAAAAAATGTTTCAATCAAAAGAGAAAACTAGGGGACCATGTATCATTGAAAAGAAAAGGATATCTTTTCTTTTTTGCATTTCATTTATACAAATGTGAGTTTGTCAGTCCATAGTAATTTGTTGCTTTGAAGCAGCAAGGCTACAAGGAGCCTAGTGAGGTGAAGCTGGAGTACCACATCCAGAGCAGTGGGGGAAGCAGGGAGGCTAGGTCAGCAAACCATCTGCTGACAGCCGAGTCTTTCAGGATGGAATTGGATGCACTTGGATCGTCTACCTTAGGAGCTTGAGGGTCCGACTGAGAAGAAGGAAGGAAAAATAAGTGAACTTACATTTCTAGACCTTGAGGTACTCAGTAATGTTGGACACATTTTGCTAAAGTTTGCTGTAAAACATTTAGTGTGCACATAAGTGCTCATGAGCTAAATTTCAAAACACTTTACTGATAGAACAAGGGAAAGCAAACTGTTTCTTTAAAACTGTGGTAAAACATTGATGCTACTTAAAGTCTAAAATATATTTCATTTCTGAGGTTCAAATTTAAAGAATCTCTGTGCATGCGTGGGTTTTCTCCGGGTACTCCGGTTTCCTCCCACAGACCAAAAACATGCATGTTAGGCTAATTGGTAACTCTAAATTGTCCCTAGGTGTGAGTGGGAGAGTGAATGATTGTTTGTCTCGTTTGTCTCTATGTGGCCCTGTGATGGACTTGCAACCCATCCAGGGTGTACCCCGCCCCTCGCACAGTGATTGCTGGACATGGGCACCAGCGACCCCCGTGACCCAAAATGGAATAAACGGGTAAAGAAAATGGATGGATGGATGGAAATTTAAAGAATGATCGTAGGTGAGAATTGGAACACTTTTTCACTTTTTTTACTCAAAGCTTCTTCACATCAACTTATTGGTGAAGCAATCCTTTCATTACTATGGGAGAGGCTCAGATCCATTGGTCACTCGTGAACAAAACTCCTAGATACTCGATCTCCTATGCTTGAGCAAAGATTCACCCCTGACCTGGAGGGAACATTTAACCTTTTCCAGTTGACAACCATGACTTTAGACCTAGAGTAGTTGACTCTCATCCAAACTGCTTTACATTCAGCTGCAAACATCCCCAGTTCATGCTGAAGGCCATAGACTGAACAGAATTGCATCATCTGCAAAACCAGACACAAGATCCTGAGTTTCCTAAACTATAAAATCTCTGCTCCATGACTACATATTGCGATTCTAATTATGAATAGCACAAAAGATTGGGCAAAAGGGCAGCTCATAATGCCCACTTGTGATCTAGACCGCCAGATGAATGATATCTTACAGTATATCTTGCCTCAAGTGGAGGAGTATCCATATCTGTCTTGTTCAGGGTTGATGATAGAATGGAGCAGGAGATAGATTGACAGATCAGGGTCTTGTCTCCAGTAATGTAATTTGTTCACTTTGTTGTGGTGAAAATGAAGCTGAGCTACAAAGGCAAAGCTTTCAGTTTACTTGTCTGTCTACCTTCCACCAGTCATCTAGAGTTATGATGTTGTAAAGATATGAGCAACTGAAATCAGCTTCTTTAGAAAAGAGGCCAAGCTCAGCCTTACATATAATGTCTGTAGCTCTGTCACATAAGGGAAACTCAGAGTAAAGCCACTGCTCCTTTGAATCCAAGCAAGTCAGTGTAAGTGGTTCTGGCACCTGATCAGGATTTCTCCTGGACAACTCCCTTTGGAGGCTTTTCATACATGTCCCGCTGGGAGGAGATCCCTTGGGTAGATCCAAAACTAACTGGTGGGATTATACATTTTCCCTGCCTTGGGAATGTCTTATGATTCTCCAGAAGATCTGGACAGTGTCACTTGTTGGAGTGATGTCTGAATTATCCTCCTAAACCTCCTGCCTCCTCAGCCTGAACATGGAGAAGTGGCAGAAAATAGTTGAATGGGCTGATGGTTGCAGAAGGTTCAGAACAGGTGCAGTCCAACCCATACCAGAAATTAGTCTGTGCCAAGAATGTAGACACTTTGGTTTCACAGGACCAAGACCTTAAGAGCCACCCTGGAAACCCATACTGCTGCAGAAACCCAACAGAAAGATTTGGGGAACAGTCATAAGCCTTCTACAGATATACAAAACACATATGGACTAGGAATGCGCAATATATACAGTACACGGTAGAAACGATAGAAATTTAGCCTACGATAGAGATCTGTCTTCTACTGGCTAACCGCAGTAATGCTGTGTCTGATGTAAAATCAGAGTAGTCAGTTTAATTGTTACTTTTTTTAGTTGAAAACTGTGCGTAAGTGGTGTTAAAGTATTTTCTTCGAGAGCTAAGCAGTGAAGCTACAAGCAAACTATGGCCAGCTTGCCATATTGTTGTCATATTCAGACGCATGCGCAAAACGCCATGTTCTGTCTAAAGTTTTTCTTTTCCCGTCGAAAGTTAAAGTAAGCTTTGGTCAGCTTTAGAGAAACCTGATCTCTGATCTGTGAAAAGAACGCTGTGTTTTGTGATTTTACTGTGAGACCCTCTGGTCAAAGCCACAGACTCATTTTGTGTCAGCTCTCCATTAAAGCGGAAGGAGTCGCCCACTAGAGGTTTGGAGGATGAAGTGTTTCAGTGTAAAATGCTCTGTTGCTGTTCATTTCTTAAGTGAGAAGACTGGAAACTGTTAAGAGTTAACAACATATTATTTTGTTTAAAACATATGGCTAAAACTACATTTGATATCTTTTGCACTGTTTTGCATTACAAGAAAGAAGCCTAATACTTGATTTGTTTATTATTTAAAAACTCTCTGAACCTAGTGGTGGCATTTTCTTAATTCAAAATAAATGATGGCAAAAGGACACCCTATGCTTCATTTCATTCCTATTGCAAGTTTTATAACAAAAACATATCGTGATATACATCGTTATTGCCACCCTTCACAATACATATCGTGATATGAATTTTATGCCATATCGCACATTCCTAATATGGACTGGTATCTATTCAGTAATAGAGATATTAACTGTGTTTTATTTTTGCTATAAAATTTAATTAAATCATACACAATAAAAAAAAACTGAATATTTTTATGTAACAAAATCATTACTGTGTAAAACAAAACAACATATTTGTGTGGGCAGCTGTTTCAATTTGCATATGCCTTATTGAATAAATATGAGTATTTCTTTTTTTGGCACCTCTCTTAGATTTACTTATAAAGCTTCAAGCTAACGGCTGGGTCATCTCCCCTAGACCTGGTTCTGCCTCAACTAAATGTCAGTCCACTGCATAACAGTGCCTTATTATTGCACAATGACATTTACAGTGAACTTTAAAAGCCAAGAGATAAGCAACAAACCCATTTCAGCCTCAAAGGAACTACAAAGACCGTGAGTTTACAGAGGAGGTGGGAAAGATTGCTGTGGCAATCATCGTCAGACAGAGGGCCAAGACTTGCAACCATCAGGTCCAATTAGACCATGTGATGATTGGATCACTGAGCCAATTGCTTTGTGGTTGAAAAGAAACAAAGAAAAAAAAATGTTTAAAGTTTTCATGTAATGTCTTGTTTTGAAGGCTGAGGCACATTTTTCTAAAATTTAGGACTATCTTTTCACCTAAAAGTTGAATAAATGAAAACAAAGACTTAAAACATGCTTAAAACATATCAATACTTTTTTGCAGCTTTATTGTCAGTCAGAAAAAAAGGGGGTTTGACCCCCTTCAATTAAGACTTGGACCCTCCTAAAAGAGGTAAAGACAACATGTGGGGAAAGATTGAACTGTATTCCATAACATTTCTAATCCTATGTTTTAAACTTAATTTTTCATATTTAAACACTGAATATGCTGATATGGTTTCAGCCATCATGAAGCAGACTGCACCAGCTTACAATGTTCCTGCTACATGAACCACCCCCTGCTGTCAAAATACAGTGAACTGAACCCCCTGACCCGAATTCCCATCTAAAGAAGTTAATATTCATTACAAGTCAAACAGACAAAATCAGCAGGGATACATTTTCTAATTATTGGTTATTTTTTTAACCAGCGATTAACTCATTAACACTGGCAAGCTGCTGTTCTAATGTCAGAACTCCCTTTTGTGTGCGTTGGGGGTAAGATGGGGATAGGGGATGTTCGTTGTTGAAGAGTGTTTCTTCCACGCTGCACATGCCTCCAGATGAAGTCAATGTTCCACAAGACTCTTTCACTTGATGATACACACACCAAATTTGGAACAAATAATGTCTAGGACCTATTTTTTTCTTAAAACCCCAGTATTCTCCTGAAAGTCAATTATGGTGGCCATGTTTCAAGATGTCTACTATTTTGTATGTGTAAAACTGTGTAAAAGTTTGGTCAGCTCAGCCATTCATGTTAAACTGAACAGTGGAAGAGGCAAATGCTTCTGCTTTGGTCTCAAGTGCTCACAGGTTTGTGCAGATGTGATGAATAGAAAAGAGCAGTTCTGTGTCATTGTCAAATTTTCAATGCAGGCTTTGTGCCCTGTTCTTCTTTTGGCTTTTCCCTCTTCAGGGGTCTGTACAGTGAGTCATCCTCCTCCATCTCACTCTGTCCTCTGCATCCTCTGTCCTCACTCCAACTACCTCCATGTCCTCTCTAACTGCATCCATATAGCTCTTATTTTGTCTTCCTCTTTGTCCTTTTCCTAGCAGCTGCATTTCTAACATTCTTCTACCGATATACCCACTGTTCCTCCTCTGGACATGTCAAAACCAGCTCAGTCTGGTCTCTCTAACTTTATCTCCCAGTTGTTCAACCTGTGCTGTACCTCAGATGATCTCATTCCTAATCTTATCCATCCTTGTCACTCCTTAGCGGAGGTGGAAAGAGTAATGATTGTTTTTAATCAAGTATAAGTACAGTTACACCGCTTAAATTGTACTCAATTACAAGTAAAAGTACTGGTGTTATAAAAAACACTTAAGTAAAAGTACAAAGGACTCCTCAAAAACTACTCAGAGTATTTAATTACTTTTTAACCAATTGATGTTTTATTGTGTCAATAGAAGGCATTCAGTTTGATATAACATCTACATTCAAAGCACATTTCTCAGACTCTCAGAAGCTCCGTCTTATTTTGGTACCAGTCAAACCAATGACAGTGATAATAGCTAAGCTCTTTGCATATTTAGTCAAACTAATAACCCACAAGCAATGCCATGCAGGTAGTTGTAAAACCTCATATACTGCAATATGTTTTTAGAGATTAGATGCTGCTATCACCGTAGAGATAAACAAAGTTTGCATCTGGACGCTGTCTCCTTTTCACCCTCTGTACATGAAAC